TATCCAAAATGCAACCTCCTCATCCCATCTTTCTCTACTACCATACTGGCTGATCAGTCATCAACCCTCACTATCGGAGACAGTCTTAGGCTGAACAAAGCCAGGAGCCAGGAACTCTGTGCTGGTCTCCCACATGGGTGGCAGGGACCTAGGCACTCAGGCTATCTTCTGTTGCTTTCCAAGCAGCAGCTGCTAATTCATCCCCCAAAAGCTGCAATGGCCAGAACTGCAACAGCTTAAAGCAAAGAGCCGGGAATCTTACTCAGATCTTCCATGTGGCTGCAGGGGCCTAAGCACTTGGATTATCTTCAATTACTTTCTCAGGTGCGTTAGCTGAGAGCGATATGGAAAGTGGAGTAGCTGGGACTTGAACTGGCACTCATATGGGATGCCAGTATTGAAGATGACAGCTGTATACACTGTGCCCCAACACCATCTCAAAGATTCATTATTTGAAAGAGTAACAGAGAGAGAGAGAGACAAAGAGAGAGAAGTACTCTAATTTTCCTTTCGTGAAGCTTTGAGACAAATTAAAACTCCCAAAGCATGAGAGTTCTAGGTTGTGTTTTGTTTCTGGCCTTGCCTCTCTGGACTGCCTTGCTCATAGCCTACTGCCACACAGAGGCCTTAAGGTTCCCCTGTCTCTATCTCTAGGTCCATATTTCTAACTGACTACTAGTTATCTTTGCTTGGATGCCCTGCCAGCATCTCTAACTGGGAATGCTCAGAGTTTATCTCTGAGTCTCCTCTCTCAGCATTTGCTCCTCCTTCTTCATTGCCTATCTAGTGAGTAGGACCACTCTCCACCCAGGAACCTGTGCCAGGAAGCCGGGTGTCGTCAACTCCTTCCTCTTCACATTCAGCAAACCACTGGGTTCCTTGGATTCTCCTTCAGAGTGCTTTTGCAGTTTCATTTCTCCTCTTACACCTAACCTCGAAAGTAGAACTTGCAGGATGCGAACCAGCGCCTATAGGGGATGCCAGCACTGCAGGCAGCAGCTTTATCTGATAAGCCATGACGCTGGTCCTAGGAAAACCATACTCTTTAGGGTCTTTTACAAATCGGTTCCAATTTGCTTATAACTCGGCAATACTCTGTCCTAAACATTCCACTTTCTTTCATGCCAGGGATTCTCAACTGGGAACAAGGTCCCTGACTTTCCCTCTGCTGCCAAGAAGAGCTTTGACGATCTTTGAGTTACATACTGTATTGTGTCTCCCTCAAATGTATTTCATAGAGGTCTCCTAATCCTCAAAGTGACTTTATTTGAAGTTGGGTCTTTGGGGAGGTACTTAACGCTGAATGAAGTCCTAAGAGTAGGATCTTCCTTCTATTGCAATGAGGTCCTTTTTTGCTTTAAATATTTATTTTATTTTTATTGGAAAGTCAGATATACAGAGAGAAGGAGAGACAGAGAGGAAGATCTTCTATCTGCTGGTTCACTCCCCAAGCAGCTGCAACGGCTGAAGCTGAGCCAACCCGAAGCCAGGAGCCAGAAGCCAGAAGCCAGGAGCCTCTTTCAGGTCTCCCACGTGGGTGCAGGGTCCCAAAGCTTTGGGCCATCCTCCACTGCTTTCCCAGGCCATATTCAGGGAGCTGGATGGGAAGCAGGGCTGCCAGGATTAGAACCTGTGCCCATATGGGACCCCGGACATACAAGGTGAGGAATCTAGCCACTTTGCTACCGTGCTGGGCCCAAGGAACGAGGTCTTTTTTAAGAAGTATCATTTATACTATACACAAGAAAGGCAGGAGAGAGGCCACACCAGATGCCAACCGAGGTGGGACCTTGATCAGGATGCACTTGACTTGTTATCTGATGTCTGCGTACCTCTACTTGAGTGTTCAAGGCCCCTGCAACTCAGCAGGCCCACAGCTAACTCACGGGCATCCCTTTCTCATGTGGGGCTAGCTTCCTACTTCTGTCCTTTACAGAACCATCCACCCAGTTCTGTGGGCACAGACCTCCTCCTTCATCCACCTTGTATAGTCACTTCCCAAGCCCTGCCTACTTCTCTCCTAAATCTCTTCAATTTCTTTGCTTGCCATCAGATTGATTATCGCTCTAGCCAGAGATGCATTCCTCTCTTGCCTGGATTACTTGTTTCTCTGTTTATTTGGGTCACTCTCATGATCTTTTAACATCTGGTGACACTGTGAATCTCTTCAGGTCACTTGTCCACTCGCTGGTGAGAGGCACTTCAAGTGTTTCCATAGCTCCTAGGGCAAATGACAGAGCGCTTAAGATGCAGAAGGCTGTGGGCACACTCCCCTCAGCCCTATCCCTGCAAAAGCATCCTTCTATATCAACACGTACTCTTGTCTCCACCTCTTTGCATTCTAGTCATTCTGACCATTTTTTTTTTTAGTTCCAAAATGTGTTATCTTCCTTGCTGCTTTACATACAAGGACCCAAGGTGCAGAAAGGAGGAAGTGAGCTGGGAGGACACACAGCATTGCAGCTAACTTACCCCTCTCACACCACACTCTAGGTCTCTTGAGCATGTTCCCTTTTCCGCCTTTCAACAACAGTGACATTCTCATTCCTTTCCTTTTTTTTCCCTGCTGCAGCCCTAAGAACCACCCACTGGTGATTTCATTGCTACTTCATCAGGGAAGCTTTTCTAGACCATCCCTCCTCAGTGACTCTCCTGGTAACTCACTCTTGTAGGGCTGCTGGAGAATGTATCATTGACATCATTATTCCATGTCTATTTCTGTCAGCTGGCTCCACGATGACAAGGACCCTCCCTGCTTTTGCATTTATGTATGGCTCAGTCCAGATACAAACTAGACATTGAACGGCTGGTTGGCTACAAAAAAACAGCCCAGATGGAAGAAAGAGTATGAATGAAAGGCTCCATTGTCTCAGAAAGTTTTAAAAGCTAGAACCCAAAAAGAGTTGGAGTGATTAGGGAAGCAGGCAAAGGCCAGTTCAGGCTGGACAAATTTATGAATTTTGCATAGGGGCGGGTACTGTGGCATAGTAGGCTAAGGTTCAGCCTGTGGTGTTGGCATCCCATAAAGGCTTGGTTCAAGTCCCAGCTGTTTCACTTCCAATTGAACTGCCTCATGTAAGGGACCCAGATGAATCTCCTAGCTCCTGACTTTGGTCTGGCCCAGCCCTGGCTGTTGTAGCAATTTGGGGAGTGAAGTAGAAGATGGAAAATCTCTCTCTTGTAACTCTGCCTTTCACATAAAATAAAATAAAGGGTGGGGGACAGTACTGTGATGTAGTAGGCTAAGCTTCTTTTTTTAAAAAAGATTTTTTTTTTTTTTTTGTTGGAGAGTCAGATATACAGAGAGGAGCAGAGACAGAGAAGAAGATCTTCCATCTTATGATTCATTTCACAAGTGACTGCAATGCCAGAGCTCAGCCGATCTGAAGCCAGGAGCTTCTCCCATGTCTCCCACACGGGGGAAGGATCCCAAGGCTTTGGGCCGTGCTTTTCCAGGCCACAAGCAGGGAGCTGGATGGGAAGCGGGACTCCTGGGATTAGAACTGGCTCCCAAGTGGGATCCTGGTGCGTTCAAGTTGAGGATTTTAGCTACTAAGCCACCATGCCAGGCCCAAGCTTCTATGTTTGATCTAATTCCCTGCATTCGGTCTGAGAAAACAGTGGAGGATGACCCAAGTCCTTGGGCCCCTGCACCCAAGTGGGAGACCTGGAAGAAGCTCCCAGCTTTCCACTGACTCAGCTGTAGCCACTTGGGGAGTGAACCATCAGATGGAAGATCTCTCTAAGTCTGCCTTTCAAATAAAAATAAATCCTTTTTTTAAAAAAGAAGTTTGTTTAAATGGTAGCAACCTGTTTTTTTGATGCTACATTCCATTTTTCAATCTTTATATCACTAGCTATCAATCAGAGAATAATTTAAACTCAAAATAGAGATATACTAAATCAGTGAAGAGGTGGGTGTCCAGGGCAATGGCTGCCACATGGCTTGGTCAGCCTGCATGCTGGACCAGAAAGCCTGGGTGCGTCCTCATCCTGACGTTGATTTTAGCTTCTGCCAATGCCTGCGCTGGGAGGCAGCAGGCGAAGTCACAATTGGGATTGTTGACACCCACTTGGGAGACACACACTGAGTTCCTGGCTGACTTCTAGCTTTAGCCTAACCCAGCCTTGGCTGGAGGAGCGAACCAGTAGGTGGAAATTTTGCTTCCCCACCCCACCCCCGTCTATCTGCCCATTAAAGGAAATCAGTATAAACAATGAACAGAACTTAAAAATATATATATCACAAAATTATTAAAACCCAAAACTAACAAAACTAATGGAAACACTTGACTCTTCTACCATAAGGCAGAAACCTTTGAACACGTGAAACCAAGGGATGCGACCTCAAACCACACTTTGCACGTGAGGCTAATAATAGGCTAAAATGGGTATTCTGCTGAAATGTCTCAGTCCAAAAGAAAGGTAACTAAAGACAGAAGTTGGAGTATGAGTTTTTAGTAGTGATGGATTAAAATTCTTGCCCCTATGTATGAGACTTTGTAATTCCTGCCATGAATCGGACAGTGAGAGGCGCGTGACGATAGTCCACCTCGAACCCTCTAAGGTTTGGGCGTTCCAGCTTCTAGAACGAACTCCTTAAGCGTCCAGGTGAGCTGTGCCTGCGACTATCCAGTCCTTCCTAGTCACAAAAAGCTTGAATGTATGAAAGTGAACACACTTTCTATTTTTAAAGATTTGTTTATCTTGAAAGTTACAGAGAAAAAGGGAGTCGCCAGGAGCCTCACTGGGGTCTCCCACCTGAGTCCAGGGCCCCAGGTACCTGGGCCACCCTCCGCTCCAGGGGCAGGGAGTGTCAGGAAACGGCGCAGCCTGGACACAAGTCCGGGGGGCTTTGGGGATGTCAAAAGTTGCCGGTGTCGCCACTACTCCGCCTCTGAGCGCATATTTCCAGCCCCGCCCGAGCCAGCGCGCCTGACGCCAGGCCAGCCGGTCCTCCGCCGTCCCAGCATTCCCCGCGCCCTACCATCGAGAGCAGCTTCCGGCGTGGCCGGTGGAGTGGGAGAAGGCGCGCGGCCCTCGCCGCTGTCTCCCTCCCTCACGCTCTCTCGGGCAACATGGCGGGTGTGGCGGAGGCAGCGGCCTCTGGCAGTCACCTGAATGGCGACCTGGATCCGGACGAGCGGGAGGACGGAGCTGCCTCCACGGCTGAGGAGGCAGCCAAGAAGAAGAGACGGAAGAAGAAGAAGAGCAAAGGGACCGGCTCAGGTAAAAGTGGGGAGGCTTAGGGTTTTGTTTTCTCTGCCCCCGGTGGCCGCCGGGAATGGCTGAACGACTTGGCTCTGGCCTTGGCCGGGTGGCAGGGAGGGCCCCGCAGTCCGGGGCTGGACTCTTCCCCTGGCTTTGAAGGGTGGCCAGGCCGGGCGACGGAGTCCCGGTGCCTGGGAAAGGCGGTTTTGTCCGTGGAGCCCAGTGTGGGGCGGCCTGGTCGGAGGGAAGGAGCCTGGGCTTGGCGTCGGGGAGCCCGCGGGTCGCCGGGCCCGAGCTTCGGGCAGCGCGTCGGGGCGGCCCCGAGGGCTGGAGCGGGGCCGCGGTGCAGCCGCCCCGCCTGGTCGAGGGTGGCCGTGAGGTGGACACGTGTGCTGCGGGACATGGCCTTCTCGCTGTGTGCGCGTCTGCCCGGAGCCGGGGACCTTTGCAAGGGCTTGGTGGTTAGGGCTGGACCGGTGATCGTGTCGGATCCCGGCGCGTCGTGGAGCTTTTAGGGCTTGGAGGCCTGAGTGGGGAAGGCAGTGGCGGAGTGCAAACATTTCTGTGTCCCGGAATGGAACTTGTCGGGCCGTGCAAGCCTGTTAAATCCCCCGGTAAGGCGAGGAAAGCAGCTTGTTTTACACTTGGCTGGTGCGTTATCGTGAACTGGGTGGGAACCGAAGGGCTTTTATTTGAAGAAGCCAGAGGGGTTTTTTTTTTTTGTTGTTGTTGTTGCTGAATCCTCCTCGTTGTCGGGGACAGGAAGTTCTTTTTGGCCGTTTTCTAGTTAACATCAACCAGAAAAGAAAGAAAAACGGTGAAGCCAGAGTAGTTGACATGGATTTGATGTGAAATTTTGATGAGGTGTGAGAGTGAAAATGCAGGTGAAATGTGGGAGTGAAAATGGAAGTAAAAGGAGGCCGAGTTTGCATTGCTGGCTTCTTCGAGAACAAAATTGAATCCCAGGACATAGAGGCTGGCGTTGGCCAGCTCTGTGGTTTAGGTGTCTGGCACACTGCTGCTAGTACTACTCCTAGTACTGCATCTCCGCACGTCAGTTCATTATGTCTTTCTTGTATTACCTTTTCCTTGAATGCACGTTTAGCTGGACTGTAGTCACTTCCAGGACTGGAAGTTGGTCTCGTGCTGAAGTATCCAGGCATCTTTGGTTTTTAGTAATGGACTGGCTTTTCCCAGCGCCATCACGGAGATGGTTTCTGTTTTCACAAAACCCCTGGGGTGGTGTTTCTTGTGAATCCTGTTCTTTTCGGAAGCATCTTCTGCATGTGTTGCTTTTCTTAAAAGTATTTGAGCATTTTTCGATACGCTCTAAGCCTTGAGTACTTTTTAAAGTTACACTACTTACACATAGGGACTAACTCACTTCTTGCTAATTCTAGCTAAAGGATATTATGTTGAGTGGGTGGGTTGGTGAGTGGACAGTAGGTATTGAAATTGTTTTTCTCTGTCATGTAAGAAGTTGTTAGAGTCACGAGGTTTGTTTTAGTTTCCCTGAACACTTAGCAGGAAAGAATTTGTGAGTTCACCAGGGTCCTTCGAGCATGCTCTGGTAGGATCCTGTCTTCATTGTATTTGATTTATGTTATTTCATCAGCAGGGCAGCAGGAACCTGATAAAGAAGCCACAGTGGATGAGGTAGCAACACAGTTGGAAAAACAAGCTCTGGAAGAAAAGGAAAGAGATGATGATGACGAAGGTAAATGGTTACTGTGATTTTCTGATTAGAAAGGATAGGCAACAGGACATTCTTGAAACAAAACTGATTTTATTTGTCCAGACAAGCCGTTGTTCTCTGATCTTTTACTTGTTATAGCCTCAATTATGTCATAAATAAGAAGGAAAAGGTATAAAAAGCATTAGCAACTCCTTAGAAAATCAGTCTATTGAATGCTGCTCAAAATCGCACCAATTTCAACTTTTAAGAATTAATGTGGTAGAAGTCCAGTTGGTGGGTATTAATAACATAAAACTGAGAGAAGAGGCATTTAGCTAACAGAATCCAACTGCTGTGTTTTGAGGATTATCTAAGGATATTTTGACATATTTTCCCATTACAACCTTACAAAATCACAGCAAAGCAGATGCTGTTCTCATTTTGTATAGGGAGAGTGTGGTTACATGATTTATCCAGGATAACACAGGTGTTGTATGTAAAATAGAACCGCCATTTCAAACCTAGTGCAAGATTTCTAGTCTGTTCTTTTTACTGTTTGTACCAAAGCCAACTTCATTCTCAGAGGATCGTGTTGGAGTGCTTCTAGTTTGGGGCAGTTGTGGCTGAGATGTCTGTGTTCCTCTTAGAGCACGTGGTTTTTGATACCTGGCTGCAGCTCTTGAGCCCAGCTTCCTGCTAGTGCAGTTGCTGAGGAAAGCATGATGGCTGGAGTAAGTGGGTTGCTGCTGTCCACGTGGGAGATGATGGATTACATTCCTAGCTCCTATCTTGGGCCTGCCCTGGCCTAGGCTGGTTGTGGTCAGCATTTGTGGAGTGAACTAGCCCAGGGAGTTCTGTCCATCCCTTCTGGTCTCTGAATCAATTAAAATCAGGCTTCGTGAAAATTGAAAACTTAAAAATGAAGGATCAAGTAAATTAAGGTCAAGTAAAAGAGCTGACGTTTAGCCTGTTTGGGCAGAAGGGTAAATGAAGTGGGCTCCCCCCCCCACTTTTTTTTTTTTTTGTTGGATTTGTTAACTCCTATGACCAACTACTGTACCTCAAGCACTGGTCGCTTCAGGCCGTGCCTTGCAGTCATCAGCAGGGCTGTACTTGCTGTGTTAAGCACTGTAGAGTAATTGTTTTTCCTTTAGGAGGATGCTGTCTGTATGTTCTTTGCCTTTAGGAAGGTTTCAGTTGGCAGTGAGTAGGAAATGTGCCAAATTCAAGAGAATTGTGAAGCCAGCTTTTCTCCTTCCTTAAGCAGACCTGTCTACTTGTGCTTTAGGTTATGAGTATGTTTTTGCAGTGGTAAAGAGAAAGACTTGTAAATTCAAGGTAATACCAGGTTGGTATAGGCCTACTATGTGTAGGTAGACTGTCACAATACTGATCTTGAAAGTGTATCCGTGCCCCTCTACAAAATTTTGTGAATTTCTGGACAATTGAAAGGTGGCTTTTTTTCTTCTCAGATTTAAAATCTTCTGTGTGTTGAGCGTGTATTGAAATATTAGGAATATACTTGGTTTTATCCAGTTCCAGTTAATCGTTTGCCTAATTCATTTTAGTACTCAGGTTCAAGTGGTACTACTTCCCTGGTAATGAGAGGTCTGAGGGGTGGAAGTTAGTAACTCACAGTTTTGTTTTTGTTTTCCCTAAAAAGAAACTTGATATGGTAGAGAACAAACTGGTGAAAGCTATTCTGGTACTGCAATGATATTGAGATTCTGAGTCAGGGTCCTATGCTGAATGTTCAAGGAGTACTCATTGGAAGGAAAGAGACCTGAACAAAACAAAATGGAAGGGCCCAGCACAGTAGCCTAGTGGCTTAAGTCCTCACCTTGCATGTGCTGGGATCCCATATGAACGCTGGCTCATGTCTCAGTGGCCCCACTTCACATCTAGCTCCCTGCTTGTGGCCTGGGAAGGCAGTTGAAGATGGCCCAAGGCCTTAGGGGACTGTGCACCTGAGTGGAACACCTGGAGGAGCTCCTGGCTCCTGGCTTGGGATTGGTGCAGCTCTGGCTGTTGTAGACACTTTGGGGAATGAATCATTGGATGGAAGATCTTCCTCTCTCTCTCTCCTCTGTATGTATCTAGCTTTCCAATAAAAAATAAAATCTTAAAAAAAATGGGAAAGACCATTTTGAGCAGGTATAATGCTGAGAAAATATTCTGAACTGTAAGATGATTCATTGAGTAGGCTCTTGAGCATTTTTAAAGATACTGTGAATTTAGGCTTCGTAGAGGCGGTGGACATACTCAGAAAAAGTGTGTTCAGCAGATAAAGGATAGACATAAACAGCCTCTGCCTGCGAGGACAAATCCTGGAATGCCGTGAATGGGTGAGAATATTCAGATTCTGGTTCCGTTGCCATCTAGAACTAAGAGTTCAACAAGTGGTAGAAATTATTTTGTACTGAACATTTCACAATAATGAGTTTGTCTCAGAAAGATGATCGATCGCCTCTCACAGAAGGGCTTTTTATGATCCTGTCTTAAAGATGGTCGGGTGAAGCAAAATAATTAGCTCAAGGCCACACAGCTGGAAAGATTTTAAGTTTTATGTTTAAAATTGGTTGGACATCATGAAACATTTGTTTTGCCGCAGTAACCTATTTTTTTTTTACTCATTCTTTATTGCCTGATGCTTTCCCTTTTGAAAGTTCGAGTATTTGGAAGGCGGAATTACACCAGGTGGGAGGCACAGAGATCTTCCCATTTGTTCTTCATTCTCCAAGTGGCCATCGCATAACCTGGCATCCATGTGGGATGTCTACGCTAATTATCTGCCACTTAAGAACTCAAACATTTAATGTAATGAAGAAGGTTATTTGAGTTATAAGGTAGAATGTATGAATTGGGACACTGAAAGAAATTTTGTTTTCCAAAATTATTATTTTTTTAATTTGAAAATCTCAGAGAAGGGACCTCATACACTAGTCCACACACCCATTGCCCACAACAGCCATTGCTGAGGCAGGCCAAAGCCAGAGACTGGAACTCAGTCTAGGTTTTAGGTCGGTGCAGGGAGCCAGGGGCTGGATTCTTCACTTGTGGCCCCTGGGGGTATGCGTTAGCAGGGAACTCTGCTCAAACCAGTCTGAGAGGGGCTATCACCCACAACCTGCTCCCAATTTTTTTGGTTAGGTTTTTCTATTTAAAACCCAGTAATGATCAGCTTAGTAATATTCAGGTTTCTACTGTATCCTAAGATTGAACCTGAAAGAAAAAGTGAATTTGCGGTCAAAACTTGTCAGATACTGTTCAGCCTATGTAAACCATAGACAACATTTCTTGCCACTTTGATGAGCTGCTGCTTTTTCTTATTTAGGAGAAAGAAACAAGCTGGTGTTGTGGCACAGTGAATTAAGCTGCACAGTCCTGGTTGCTCTATTTTTGATCAGCTCCCCACTAATGTGCTTGCTGAAAACTGGAACACGGCCTAAGTACTTAGGACTGTGCACCCCTGTGAGACAAACAAGTGGAGTTGTAGGCAGTCTTTGTCTAGCTGTTCTGAACATTAGGGGAGTGAACCAGCAGGTGGAAGATCGCCTGCTGTGTCATTCTGCCTTTTAAATAAATAAAAAGTACATTTTAAGGGAAAGAATACAAATAAGCTAAAAGCAACTAAAAGGACGTTTATTGAGTAGATTTACCCCGTGCTTGTCTTATGGTTAGTTTAAGAAATGATGTCTGAGCCTGCAGATGGATGGGGGTCGGATAAACTGATAGTTGAAATTTTGTGTACTAATTAAACGGATATTGCAGATAGAGTGGTGAGGAAATTATTATTATTTATTTTTATTACAAAGTCAGATACACAGGAGGATCATCCGTCTGATGATTCACTCTCCAAGTGACTGCAATGGCTGGTGCTATGCTGATCCTAAGCCTGGATCCAGGAACTTCCTCCAGGTGTCCCACATGGGTGCAGGGTCCCAAGGCTTTGGGCCATCCTAGACGACTGCTTTCCCAGGCCACAAGCAGGGAGCTGGATGGGAAGTGGAGCTGCTGGGATTAGAACCAGCTCCCCTAAGGGATCCTGGCGCATTCAAGGCGAGGACTTTAGCCATTGGGCCCAAGGGAATTTTTTTAATGGCACTTTTTTGGAAGCTATTTTATCTAAGAGCAAAGCTATTTATTTGAGAGGAAGCATTACAGAGAGTTCTCTTAGCAACCAAATATGAATTGGTGCTCGCGTTGGTGCTATAGGCATGGTTTATCTGCAGTGCCACAGCGCCAGTGTGCCCTTCTGCCTTGACTAGTTTTTTTTTTTTTTAAAGATTTTTTATTATTTTTTATTGGAAAGGCAGATATACAGAGAGGAGAGACAGAGAGGAAGATCTTCCGTCTGATGATTCACTCCCTAAGTGAGCGCAACGGCCGATACTATGCCAATCCGAAGCCAGGAGCCTCTTCCGGGTCTCCCACGCAGGTGCAGGGTCCCAAAGCCTTGGGCCGTCCTCGACTGCTTTCCCGGGCCACAGGCGGGGAGCTGGAAAGGAAGCAGGGCTGCTGGGATTAGAACCGGCACCCATATGGGATCCCGGGCGTGCAAGGCTAGGACCTTAACCACTTGCGCCACCGCGCTGGGCCCTCTTGACTAGATTTTAATTAACATTTTAAAATTTTGTTTTGAGGGCCCAGCGTGATAGCGTAGTGGTTAAAGTCCTCTCCTTGCACGTTGTATGTTCATAGACTTCCTAGAAAGACTGCTGCAGACACAGCTCCATACCTGTTCAGCTATTCCCAGCTACTTTCTAAAATACTTGTTACTCTCAATTACCACCAATTTTGGGACATTATAGATCCTTCCCCCCTTTTAAGATTTATTTTTCCAAAAAAATATTGGTTTTTTTAGTTGAAAATCAGGGAAGGCAAGACAGAGATAGATCTTCCATCATTGGTTCACTCCCTAAATGGCTTCACCAGTCAGTTGGGATGGTCCAAAGCTAGGAGCCAAAAGTTCCCTTCAGGTCTCCCATGTGAGTACCTCCGTCCCCTGCTTTCCCAGTTGCTAGCAGGTGCTTCAGGCAGAGGATTAGCGTGGTGCACAGCTCCACCCTGAGAGACAGCTGTATCTGCTGCCATTCCTACCGGATAATTAAAGCTACAGTATACAGGATTACTTTATAAGATTATTGGGTGAATCTTGCCATATGACATAAAGGGCATTGTGTGTGTCTGTACACGTAAGTGCATTTTCTTGTGTTTATTTTCTTGTGTTTGTTCCTCTGTTTATAATATTTAAATGAGCATGTACTTGAAATTGTCTTTTGCTAGATGGTGATGGTGATGGAGATGGAGCAGCTGGAAAGAAGAAGAAAAAGAAGAAGAAGAAGAAAGGATGTTAGTGTTATAAGTTACTGTTCTTTGGTGTGTAGATTTGAAATAGTTTAAGGTGCTAATATGTGTTAAGGGAATAAATAGGCGCAATAGAAGTTGAACAATATGAAACTGATAGTTACTTGCCAAATAGTGTGGAATATCTAGTTATGCTTTCCATTAAAGTCTTTCAGACTAGAATTTTGTGAGAATTTTGGAGGCTTGACTTCCTTTTTTTGCTACTGAGAAAAATACTGAAATACTCTGTCAAGTATCCTCCCGTAGCTCCGCAGTGGAGGAGTCATAAACTTCGTATCCAATTGTCTCTCCTTGCTAAATCCTACTCTCATGAGAGCTTTTGAATTTAATGAGTGCAGGGATTTTCTAGGGTTTGTGATGTTCTATTCTTTTTATTTACAAATCATTAAAAATGTAGCTATGAAAAATGGTATGATTTGAGAGAGAACTATTTCTCAAGTATACTGTTGAGTTTATTGTTCATTATATTTCTTTTTGAGCCTTCTCAAGAGACAGTCTTTTTTTCTGATTTAGCGAGAATCAGAGTAGTGAGGTTAACTGCTTTTCCTGAGTAGTTGATCAGTTTTATCTCAGGAACCTAGAGTGTTTTTTATTTTCTCTTTTGAATTGATGACTGCTTGAGGGCTTGGGTCCAAATCTATATTATTTTAGCTTTAGTTCTTTTTAGTATTTGTTCTTTCCCTTGTTTCAGTTTTTGCACTCTAATTTATCTTGAATGTGCTTTATTTACATTTTTGATATCCTGATGGGCTACCTACATCATTCTAGAATGAGACAAAAAAAAAATGTAAACATGGATAGTTTTATTGCCCTTATTTTCCTTCTCTGTAATGTAGAAGAATTATAAATAACTATAAATAATATAGAAGAGTTATAAATAACTGATAACTATGTATAACTGATATGTTTATATATAACTGTAGAAATAACTGGTGTAAATAATGTACAATTATAAATAACTGATAAATCATAGTTAATAACTGATAGAAATTACATTCATAGTTTTATTTCATGATTTGGACATAATGCATTGTAATTTGCAAAAAAGATTGCCAGCATTTTGTATAATTCTTCATTTTGTAAATGAGGAAGCTCATTTGGCACCATTTAGCCGTTTGTCCTAGTCACAACTAGTAAGTGTTAAAGGGTAGGCTTTTACTTGCCTATTTTGATTAGAAATTCTGTAGTTTTTCTAATGGTCTTTGATTTGTGGAGGAGATGAGGCATCTTCGTTAGATTTATGTCATAGGGGGTAATGCTGCTGCCTATAACACCAGCATCATACATGGGAGCTGGTTTGTGTGCTGGCTGCTCCGCTTAGAATCCACTTCTTGCTAAAGGTGTGGGAAAAGCAGCAGCAGATGACCCATGTGCTTGTCCCCTTGCACTCACATGGAAGTCTTGGAAGAAGCTCCTAACTTTGGTCTGACCCACCCTGGCTTTCACAGCCACCTGGGAAGTGAACCCGCAGATGGACCATCCCTCTGCTTCCTTCTCCCTCCCCTCTCTGTAATTCTTTCAGATACATAAATCTTTAAAAAAAATTTATAGGTCATAGCACAGTTGGGAGATCAGATAGTATTATGACAAAAGTCAGGATTTATAAGCCCCAGATAACAGAATCAGCTAATATTAGCCATAAATTATTTATTTATTTTGAAATAAAGGTTTATAAAATAAATGAACATATGTCTACATAATGTGGAAATACACATCTTCACTACATGTACCCACAGTCAACATGCTCATTGGAAAGGTCAAGTTCAAAGGCTAAATTTTCAGCTTTGGTTAGCTGTATCCAAACCATGACACTCAAATGTCAAATCATGACATTAAAATCAAGATGGATTTTAACATTGTATTTACATGTGCTGGCATGATGGCACAGTAAGTTAACATGTTAGCAAAATCTGATTTTAAGATATATTTATTTGATATGGCAGAGTGCAATTTGCTAATTCAATACCCAGATGGTCCCAACAGCCTAGGCTTGCCAGTGCAAACCAGGAGCTTGAAACTTCATCTGTGTCTCCCATGTGAGTGCCTCAGGCCTAAGTATCTGGTTCTTCTGTTACTCAGAAATATTGGCAAGAAGCTAGATCAGAAGTGGGGAAGCCAGGGCTCAAAAACTAGCAGCACTCATATGGGATGCTGTTGGGGCTAAAGTCTGTATTACAGAGATGCATGGGAAATTAGTATAGCACAGTAAGATCCTGAGAATTTTGAATTCAGTATGAATCCAGAAATCAAAGGAGTGTTATTTGAGTAGCTGTAGGAATTTTAGAATCAGCTGTGTCATCTGCTGTTAGTTGTAGCTATTCAGCTTGTTAGTATAAATCAGCACTAGTACCACATTAAAAGGAACATGAAAAATTTCAAAGTTAGTGAATATGGGTGCAAACTGGTGAGACCCATTTTCCTTAAATTGGTTTCTCCTCAGGAAGGGAGAAATTAGTAGCAGTGTATAGTTGTTTATCAGAATGGATCCTAGGCCTAATAAAGTAATAGGAAAACATTAATGCAAAAAGAACATTAAAGTGTTCTCAAAATGAAAATGAGTAGATTTTGGCTTGAGAGCTAGTGATTGCTTTAGTACTCTGTCTTGGATGTTAAACAAGTCCCAGATGGACCGAATGAGGTAGTTTCCGAAGTCTTATATTTAGTTTTACACTTTTGTCTTTCTGTTAGGAACATAAAACACTAGATTCCAGTTTTACTTGCTCACAGAGCACTTTCACGTTGAACATGTGTGTGGAAAACCAGCTGACTCTTTAGAAATACTGTGTTTGAATTAAAGGAGGAGCCAAGAAATTTCATAGATAAATGATTACTAAATTGTGCTATTTTTATTTGCCTGATTTTTGAGACTTTAAAACATTTTTTTGTTTCTTTTCTTTTTTTTTTGTTTTGTTTCTTTTAATTTTTAAATTTTTTTTGTAGTTTTATTTTTTTTAATAATGATTACATGGTTGATGAAGGTGGGAAGGAATAAGGTTTAGGGAAAATTGGGTGAATTCATTGCTTCCAAATTTGTTATTTCTTTTTGTTGTTCCTGGGGGAAGAGGAAAAACCACTCATGACTTTTCACACGTCCCAGCACCCAGGGACGAGGAACTGCCACCGAGAGGAGAGGCAGAAAGATCTTCTGTCTGCTGATCTTCACTCTCCAAGTGGCCACAATGGTTGGAGCTGGGCCCATCTGAAGCCAGGAGCCAGGAGCTTTGGGCCATCATCGACTGTTCTCCCAGACCTCTAGCAGGGAGCTGGATGGGAAGCGGGACCCATCTGGGATCCTGGCATGTTCAAGGCCAGGTTGTTAGCCACGGGACTGCTGCACCAGGCCAGCTTAGTTTTTCACTTTTGCTGAACAGACCAAAATAGGTGTTGAAATTTAAAACAGAAATCCAAAATATATTGCCAGTTAAGAGGAAACAACTTTAATTCAGTAAGTAGTAAATACTGTAGATGATATATACCTTAAAAGTGATATTGCTGTACATTAGTTCTCATGCAACAGTTATTTGATTCAGCATTTGTTGCTAAAAGCTGATCTTCAAATAAGAACTGAATATGAAGGTACTTCCAAAAGTTTGTAATAAATGGAGTTAAAATGTTTGTTTTGCTGTGAATTAAAAAGATTTATTATTTTATTTATTATTTATTATTTTTAAAAGATTTATTTACTTTTATTGCAAAATCAGATATACAGAGAGGAGGAAAGACAGAGAGGAAGATCCTCCGTGTGATGATTCACTCCTAAGTGACCACAGCGGCCAGAACTGAGCTGATACAAGCCAGAAGCCGGGAGGCGCCTCCTGGTTTCCCACATGGGTGCAGGGTCCCAGGGCCTTGGGCCATTCTCCACTGCTTTTCCAGGCCACAGCAGAGAGCTGGATGGGAAGCTGGGCCGCCATGCTGGGACTAGAACTGGTGCCCATAAGGGATCCCAGCATGTTCAAGGCAAGGACTTTGAGCTACTAGGCCACCATGCTAGGCCCCGTTGTGAATGAAATTTTAAATCACTACACATGACTCCCTAAAGACATTCAGCATAAATTATGGATACTGCTGACTCTTACTGTTATTCTCTTGAAATAATGGTTTCCTTATTTTATTAATGCACAATAGACATTTCAGTAGGACTACTTTATTTTTTTTAATTGTTTTGTAGTATCCAATCTCAATGTCATTTCATTTCCAGAGTAATGAAGGAAGACAAGCATTTCTGCCAGGGCGTGGTGTTTGAATGCCATTGGAATCCTAAGGACTTGTTTTTCCAAACAGCAGTAAATTAGAGAAGAAATTGTGAATATTGTGATGTGTGTTTTGCTTTTAACGGGAAGGGGATAATGAGAAGGTTCCTTAAAGAATGAGGACCTTGGGTCCGGCGTGGTGGCCTAGCCACTCGAGTCCTCACCTTCAATGCACTGGGATCCCATATGGGTGCCAGTTCTAATCCTGGTGGTCCTGCTTCCCTTCCAGCTCTCTGCTTATGGCTTGGGAAAGCAGCAGAGGATGGCCCAAAATCTTGGGACCCTGCACCCGTGTGGCTCCTGCCTTTGGATCGGCTTAGCTCAGGCCGTTCCGGTCACTTGGGGAGTTAATCAGCAGATGGAAGATCTTCCTCTCTTCTCTATATATATCTGACTTTGCAATAAAAATAACTATCTTTAAAAAAAATGAGGACATAGAACAACTATTAGCAACTAGGGAAACTGATAGCAGCTTAATTTTATTTTTGATTGTAGAAGTTAATGTTCTGTTTATATCCCACAGCAAAAGTTCAAACAGACCCTCCCTCAATTCCAGTATGTGAACAGTATCCAAATGGTGTCTATCCCAAAGGACAGGAGTGCGAATACCCCCCCACACAAGATGGGTAAGGACGGGAACTAAGCAACACTTGGGCTTAACAGTTGCAGCTTTGCTTTACTACTTTAATAAAAGCTTGTGAATTTATTGGAAAGAAGTTATAGCTGAAACCTGAATCAAAATGATTGGACCCAGTAGTGGGTTAATGAATTTAAAATGTGTTACCATGGGCATTGCAAAAAAAAGTGAAAATCTGCTCATAGAAGTTTTTGCTTCTTATCCACTCTTTCATCAGTTGCAAACTGTATTCCTAGCACATTATATATGTGACTTCTTTCTGGGTTTCTGTGACTAGAGGCAAGAAGTGAATGGCCAAAGAGTTAATGCCGCCATTATTACATTTTTTCCCCCGAAATCATTTACAATTCTGTGAAATTCAGTGTGAAGAAGTATTTTTTTTTTTGATTACTTGCTGCTTTTCTTTTTCCCTTTTAAGGTTTATTTATTTGAAAGGTAGTTGGTAGAGAAAAATATGTACTATTTCCTGGTTCACTCCACAAGACCAGAAATATGGAACTTTGTCTGGGTCTCACACATAAGTGCTGGTACCCAAGCACTCTCAGGCCACACTAGCAAGGATCTGGATCAGAAATGGAGCAACTGGGACTTAAACCAGTGCCCATGTAAGAAGTTGGCATCTCAAGTGGCATCCTAACCCACCGTGCCACAGTGCTGGGGCCAATGACTTGCCTTTTTTGAGACTTAGTTGTAGTCAGTTTTCATAAAAATAGTCGTTTTGGTTGTTGTTCATTGTATTCACTTGAAAGAGCAGATGAGATATTGCAAGAGGTCTCCTGGTGCTGTTTCACTCTGCAAATGCTTGTGATGTGCCAGACTGAGCTGGCGACAAAGTTTAAGCCTGCCATAGGAGTGGCAGGGGCCTGTTTTTTAATATTTTCTGCTGCCTCCCAGGATGGAAATTAACAGGAAGCTAGACAATGGTAGAGCCAAGACTAACTTAGGCACCAACATACGGGGTGCTGGCTTCCAATAGATTTTGGAAAAAATGTACTTACTTCTGTAAGGATTGTTTTGGCTGGTCCGCAGAGCCCCAGGTGAATTGGGAACTAATCTGTGTGCATTTCAATCCCATTTCTCCCATCCAAGTACTAACTGTACCTGACCATGCTGAGCTTCAGAGACAAGACCAGTTGTGTTCAGGGTGGTGTATGACTGTAGACTGGATCCCATTTCTAACACTTAGTAAATAGTATCATACATTGGGGCAAGTAAATTATCATTGTCTTCTGTGCTTTGCCACTATAAGCTGTTCTATAATAAACCCCTCTGGGTAGATAGGTAGGCAGGCAGGCAAGTAAGGTGTGTGTGTGTTTCCTTTATTTTTATGAGAGAAAGATTTACACAGAGCAGAGACAGAACAATCTTCTGTCTACTGGTTCACTCCGCAAGAAGTCACAGCAACCATAGGCAAGCTGTTCTGAAGCCAGAAGGCAAGAGCTTCCTCCAGGTCTCCCATGTGAGTGCAGGGTGCCAAGGCTTTGGGCCATCCTCTGCTGCTTTCCCAGGCCACAAACAGGGAGCTGGATGGAGCTCTGCTTGGCATCTTGTTCTGGCAGGATGTTCACCCATCTGTGTGTGGATGAAATCTTGTTTGAGAATTTTTCTCTAAGAGGGTTATAGAAGGGTTCAACTGGTTTGATTACAATTGTGTGATTTTCTGCATTTTGAAATGATGTTGACATGATTGAGTATGTAGTGTAACTTTTTATCTAAAATGATTTAGATTACTTAGTGTATTTTTATCTGCAGCTTTTTTACTTGATCTGCTGGTTTTTAAATAACGACTGTTGTCCTGTGCCTAGGCGAACAGCTGCTTGGAGAACTACAAGTGAAGAAAAGAAAGCTTTAGATCAAGCTAGTGAAGAAATTTGGAATGATTTTCGGGAAGCTGCAGAAGCACATCGACAAGTTAGAAAATATGTTATGAGCTGGATCAAGCCGGGAATGACAATGATAGAGATCTGGTAAAGGACTACATTTTTGTAAGAACATGATTTAAAAAGTTTTGTAGTATTATCTCCCCATTTGTAGTATTTAATTTTTTATTAACATCTTGCCCATGAGTCTTGAAGTAAAAGTTCCAGAAATATCTTCCAAGTGTCTCTGTAATGAGGAAATCCTAAGAGCACCACTGTCCTGCTTAGCCTGCCGTGCACTCCGTTCTTTCCAACTGCATGTTTGTTGTTTTGCTGTTTAATGGTTCGTATTAGAAAAATTCTTGGACTAATACAGTGAAGAAACCAACAAGTGTTTCTCTAATTTCCCTCCTTTGAGAAATGATTAGTATAAAGGACAACTTAAATTTCTGATTCAGATTTTTTTTTTAAATTTTGTTTTATGGCACAGTTTCATAGGCTCTGGGATTCCCTCAGCCCCTCCCCAAACCCTCCCCCCATGGTAAATTCCTCCACATTGTTGCAGTAGTACAGTTCATATTAAGTCATGATTCCTTCATTGCGAGCATGTACCATGCATAGAGTTCAGCCTCTTGTTGTCCAGATAGTTTCAACAGTTTCCTTGGGAGACCATCCCTGGTCTGAAAGTGGAGCTGGCAAAATATCATCCCCGCCAATGAAAAGCCACAACACAATATCAACAACAATTTATAACATTATGGAGTTAATTGACATGGTGTTGAGTGACTGATATGTTAGAAAATGGGACTTCTTAACCACATCCTGTGACTACTTCATTGACATTTCAGTTTTAGTTTATACATAACCAGCTGCTATACACCTTAAAATGGTTATAGAGTACTACTCAGCTGTCTCGTGTCTATATTCATTTTTATATTTAACAGCTTATAGTATTGAAGCATGATTTTAACTGAACTTTGTGAATTTTAGGATAGTCCAAACAGGCTTATAACTCTAACAAAGCATGTTAGCAGTTTTCCTCCTTTGAGAAATGATTAGTATAAAGCGTAGAACAGTTTTAGGAGGGGTGTGCAGAGAAATCTTCAATACCTTGGTGAGGAGTAACTAACTTTGTGTCCTACCTAGTTAGGTATATGTGAGTCCAGGCTGACCATTTCTTGTCTGTTCTAAGCTTTCCTTAATGGTCTCTGTCTATCTAATCTAATTTTTTGGGGGGCGGGGGGGCTGGGATGGTGCTCCAGAGCAATCCTGACAGTCATTGCAAGACAGGGTGAGGATCCAAAGTTGGAACTAAGACCAGAGAAAGCTCTTCTCCTTAGTCCGAAGGAAGTTTACTGTTCTTCTGTTTCTGAGGACCACTCAGGGCTCCCAGCTGTTATTCTGATGACATTACATCCTGTGAAGAAGGATCTGGTCTTCCATCCCGTGTGGGAGATCCAAAAGGGAGTGGATGATCTCAGAGTTCTTGGCCAATGAGGGTACTCCAATTCTCCGTAGTCTCCATGGCAGTTGGGATAGTCCTTGGTGCCTGTATTGATAGTCCTTGATGAGGATCTGGGAGTCTTCAGGGTTGGGATACCATCCTCCGACTGTCCTCCTGCTCCACTCTGGGGTCCCTCCCTGCTCTGTGCATCTGACCTCTTGTTAAGAGGCTGTCAGGATCATTCCTGAGTCCCACTGTATGTTTTTGCTAATGTCTAATGTTGAGTTTTTGTTAATGCAGATTCGAGTCTGCTGTCGTAAGTTCAGTTTTAAAAATGTGAGACAGGCAAGTAAAATAAGTGTTTATCTTGGTCTTAGTTGAGACTCTTGCTCATAAACAAAAATGGAGTGTGTTTACTCTAGATTTCTAGTAGAATTAGTCTTCTTGTCCTGTAAGGATGAGTTGTTCTTATAGCATCAGAGAATTGTTCAGTTGTTCACTTACTTACTTCCAGACTATGCTTACATCACTCCCTAAAAGTAATTTTACAGGTTTTTTGTAAACCTTCTGATCTTGATGAGCTATCAGATATAAGAAAACAAGAGTAAGTTCATTTATTTGTTGTAGTGAAAAGCTGGAAGACTGCTCACGCAAGCTAATCAAAGAAAATGGATTGAGTGCAGGCCTGGCATTTCCTACTGGTTGTTCTCTCAACAATTGTGCCGCCCATTATACTCCCAATGCTGGAGACACAACAGTATTACAGTATGATGACATCTGCAAGATAGACTTTGGAACACACATAAGTGGTGAGTTCTTGGAAATCATTCCTGTACCCTCCCTTCACCCCCAGCAGGTCACAGGTTTTTTCTCTGTGGAATAGAGTTACAAATACTGAAAATTTGTTTTTACTGCCTCAATTTTTTTTAAAAGATTTATTTATTTATTTATTTATTTATTTTTTTGTTGCAAAGTCAGATATACAGAGAGGAGGAGAGAAAGAGAGGAAGATCTTCAGTCCGATGATTCACTCCCCAAGTGGCCCCAATGGCTGGAGTTGAGCCTACCCGAAGCCAGGATCTGGGAGCTTCTTCCGGTTCTCCCACATGAGTGCAGGGTCCCAAGGCTTTGAGCCATCCTCAACTGCTTTCCCAGGCCACAAGCAGGAAGCTGGATGGGAAGTGGGGCCACCAGGAATAGAACTGGCACCCATTTGGGATCCTGGTACGTGCAAGGCAAGAATTTTAGGTGCTAGGTCACTGTGCCTGGCCCCTACCTCCTCACTTTTTTGTAAAACTGTGTGAGGCAGAGTTTGAAGTAAATCTCTGTAATATACTAAATGAATTGGAAAACTGTTGATTGAGGCTTAAACCTTGGTATCCAATGCATGAAAAAAAATATTTTCTTTGTTCATTAAAGTGCCATTTATGTGAATCTTGACTACAAACATTTCCTCAGAGTCTTTATCGCACTTTATATCCAAGTGTTTGCATTTCTGAATTTCTCCTTAAAACCCAGGTTGGCAGGTAAGTATCTTGTTACTACCTCTCTTAACTGGAGAGAAAGCAAGCTTAGAGTAAGTATTAGCTGAGACTTTCCCAAGTTAAATTCAAGGCCTGAGGCCTGGTGCAGTGGCCTGGTGGCTTGCATGTGCTGGGATCTCATATGGGCACTGGTTCATTTCCTGGCTGCCCCACTTCCCATCAAGCTTTGTTCTTGTGGCCTGGGAAAGCGGCAGAGGATGGCCCAAAGCCTTGTGACCCTGCACCTATATGGGAGACCTGGAAGAAGCTCCTGGCTCCTGCCTTCGGATCAGCTCTGGCCATTGCGGCACTTGTGGAGTAAATCAGAGGATGGAGGATCTTCTTGTTTCTCCTCTCTTAGATCTGATATTCTAGTAAAAACAAATAAATCTTTAAAAAATCAGGGCCCCTTGTCTTTATTGTTCCTAAGTTCTCCGCTCTTTACTACTTTTGTTTCTGTTTCACATAATTAAGTGGGTGCTGAATTGATGCAGGTTTGGAATAACATTGAGCTCTGCAATCATTCTTTATGGAAACCTTAGAAAATAGAAATACACTTTGTATCGTTTTGTCTTTTTGATTATGAATGATCCTTCAGTACTTAGAATTCTGTCTCTGAGCCCAACATTCTATTTTTCTGTTAATTATAATGCTAGAGTCAATATAAAGCAAATACATTGGCAGCTAATAAGCTTTAAAAATGAATTTTCTTTTTCAGGAAGAATTATCGACTGTGCTTTTACTGTCACTTTTAATCCTAAATATGACCAATTATTAAAAGCAGTGAAAGATGCTACTAATACCGGAATAAAGGTATGTGAGCTCTTACCAATTGACTTTGTATTTAAAGCGCTTAAGGCCCATTTTAGGTCTGTGGGCAATTAAGGTGAATAATGTATAATTCACTACCTTTAGAGTCTTACGTAAATAATTGCTATAAAGTGTCCCAGGGGTTCCCCCCTGCCAAATTTTACCAACTTTCTTTTTTAAGAAATATTATTTTTTATTGGAAAGTGAGATTTCATGGAGGGTTGGTGGCAGCACGGTGGCATAGCGGCGCAAAGTCCTCGCCTTGAAGGTGCCAGGATCCCATATGGGCGTCAGTTCTAATCCCGGCAGCTCCAGTTCCCATCCAGATCTCTGATTGTGGCCTGGGAAAGCAGTTGAGGACAGCCCAAAGCTTTGGGACCCTGCACCCACGTGGGATACCCGACGAGGCTCCTGGTTCCTGGCTTCAGATTAGCCTGGCTCCAGCCATTGCAGTCACTTGGGAAGTGAATCATCAGACGGAGGATCTTCCTCTTTGTCTTTCCTCCTCCTCCTCTCTGTATACATCTGATTTTGCAATAAAAATAGATAAATCTTTAAAAAAATATTAGAAAGAAGGGAAGATCTTTCATCATCTGATTCACTCCCCAAGTGACCACAGTGGCCGGAGTGCACTGATTCGAAGCCAGGAGCCATGAAACGTGGGTGCAGGGTCCCACGGCCTTGTGCCATCCTTGACTGCTTTCCCGGGCCACAAGCAGGGTGCTCCTTCCTTGAATTTTATTTGAAAGGCAGATTTAATGAGAAAGGGAGACATAGAGAAGGTCTTCCTTCCATCTGCTGGGTTCAGTCCTCAAACTGCCAAAACAGTCAGATCTGATGTGATCTGAAGCTAGAACCCTGGGTTTTCCTTTGTGTCTCCCACTTGGGTGCAGGGTCCCAAGGACCTGGAGTCATTTTCCACTGCTTTCCCAGCAAGGAGCTTGGTTAGTCAGAAGTGGAGCAACCAGGACATGAACCAGCACACATATTGCATGTTAGCATCACTGGGTGGAGTATTAGTCTGATGTGCCACCATGCTGATCCCTTTTAAAATATGTTTATAAAAGATTTACTTACTTGAAAGGCAAGGTTTGGGAGAGACAGAGATCTTCCATCTGTTGATTCAGTCCTCAAATGGTTCCATGTCTGAGATTGAGGTAGGCCTGAAATAGGCCCCTGTAGCTTCTAATGTGGGTGGTATGGGCCTAATCACTTGGGTCATCCTCCACTGCTTTCCTGGTGTATTAGCAGGGGCCTGGATTGGAAATGGAGCAGTTGGGACCCAAACTGGCACTCATATGGGATCCCAGTGCTGCAGGTCATGGCTTAACCCTTTGCACCATCACACTGGCCCCTGCATTTATTTTATCTCTTTTTTTTTTTTTTTTTTTTTTTTTACTTGAAAGACATATTTACAGAGAGAAGGAAGGACAGATAAATCTTCAGCCCGCTGGTTCACTCCTCAAATGACCACAACAGCTGTAGCTTAGCTGATCTGCAGCCAGGAACCAGGAGCTTCATCTGAATCTCTCTTGTGGGTCCCAGGACCTAAGTACTTGAGTCATCCCCCATTGCTTTCTCAGCCATAGCAGGGAGCTAGATGGGAAGTGGAGCAGCGGAGACACAAATCCGCACTCATAGGGGATGCTGTTGGCACAGGGTGGAGTGTCAGCTTTCTGTGTCCCTGTGCTAAGCCCTGCATTATAATCTTGATAGGCTGTTGAATAAGGTTTGCCCATGCTCTGGTGGGGAATTTATTAGGAAATTGTCCTTTTTGTGAACATGTGGAAGAATTGACATTGTTTCTTAAAAATGTTTGATAGAGGTGTTTTGCTGTGGTCATAGCTTTTCAACCCACTACCTGTGACTCTGCCAACCTGAGTGGGAGCTAGTTTGTCTTTTCCCACTGTTAATCCAGCTCCCTGTTCCTACCGTGGGTAAAGCAGAAGATTCCATCAGTTTTAGGATTTTTCTTTGTGAGACATTTTTGATTACTCAGTGTCCTTACTAGTTACAAATGTATTCGAACTTTAATCTTGATAAGCTTTGGGGAGTTTGTCCATTTCTTGTAAATTATCTATTTGTTACTGTATAATTGCTTTACAATTTTCTCCTATAATCTTACTGCAAATTTGAAAGGGTGACGGTGTGATAATTGGAGATGGTGAATATTTTCCATCTGCTGATTGAGTTCCCAGATGCAAAGCCAGCTGGGCTAGGCCAGGGCAGAAGCAAGTGCTAAGAACTCAGGTACTTGTGGCATCATCTGACAACTCCCCAGACCTCCAGTCCGGATTGGAAATGTGCAATAGCTAAACTCAGATAAGGCACTTCTAAGTACCTATTGGGATATGGATATCTTTCATTTTTAAAGTTACTTATTGAAGCTAATTGTCTACCTCCAAGTGCCAAGATCCCATGTGGGTGCCAGATCATGTTCTAGCTGTTCCACTTCCCATCCAGCTTCCTCTGTGTGGCCTGGGAAAGCAGTGGAGGATGGGCCAAAGCTTTTGGACCTGGAAAAGGCTCTTGGCTCCTGGCTTCAGATTAGCGCCATCTCAGCCGTTGTAGTCATTTGAGGAATAGACCAGTGGATGGAAGTTTTTTCCATTTATCTCTCTGTAAATCTGCCTTTCCAATAAAAATAAATCTGAAAAAAAAAAAGTTTCTTATATACTGGGGGCCTGCATTGTGGCTTAAGCTGCTGCCTGTAACAGTAACATCACATAGGGGCATCAGTTCTTATCCAGCTGCCTGCTGATACACCTGGATGAGCAGCAAGAGATGGCAACAGTACCCCTACATGGGAGACCTGGATAAAGCAGTTGGTTTTTGTCTCCTGACTTCAGCTTGGCGTGGTCCTAGGCATTGTCTCCGTTTGGGGAATGAACCAGTGGATAGATCTTTCTCTGCCCTTGCCACTTTCTCTCTCTCTCCCCCACCTCTTCCCTCCCTTCTCCTCTCCTTGTCTCTCTCTAAATTTATTTGTGTTTATATAAAAGACTCCATCTGGGTCTCCCACATCTTGGGCTGTCTTCTGCTGTTTTCCTGTGAACATTACAGTGAACTGGATCAGAAGTACAACAGCTGAGACTTGAACTGTTGTCAAATGGTATGCCTACATTACAGGCAGCAGCTTAACTTGCTCTGCCACAACATAACCTTCCGAAATTGATTTTTGTATATTGTCTATGTGCCGGAAATCCTCCTGAGGTATAACCTAAGGTTTTCTTGGGTCTCTCTTGGTATGCATGCTCACTTTAAAAAATTTTCCCTTTGGGTTCGGCGCGTTGGCCTAGCGCCTAAAATCTTCGCCTGGAATGTGCCAGGATCCCATAAGGGCACTGGTTTTTTTTTTTTTTTTTTAAATCTATCAGATATAATAGAAGCCAACTTTATTTATTTATTTATTTATTTATTTTTTTTTTCATTGGAAAGGCGGATATACAGAGAGAGGAGAGACAGAGAGGAAGATCTTCCGTCCGATGATTCACTCCCCAAGTGAGCGCAACGGGCCGATACTATGCCGATCCGAAGCCAGGAGCCTCTTCCGGGTCTCCCACGCGGGTGCAGGTTCCCAAAGCTTTTGGGCTGTCCTCGACTGCCTTCCCAGGCCACAGGCAGGGAGCTGGAAGGGAAGCGGGGCTGCCGGGATTAGAACCGGCGCCCATATGGGATCCCGGGCGTGCTAGGCGAGGACCTTTAACCACTTGCGCCACCGCGCCGGGCCCAAGGGCACTGGTTTTGATCCCTACTTCCCATCCAGCTCCCTGCTTGTGCCCTGGGAAGCAGTTGAGGATGGCCCAAAGCCTTGGGACCCTGCACCCACATGTGAGACCAATCATTGGATGGAAGATCTTCCTCTTTGTCTCTCTTCCTCTCTGTATGTCTGAGTTTGCAGTAAACATAAAATAAATCTTAAAAAATTTTTTTCCCTTCTATATTTGGATGTTCCTATTTTTATGTCTAATTCTTCAAAAAGAAAAAAGGAAATGTAGTTGGGGTTGAGGGTACAGGGTCACAGTGAAGGGAACCACACCAGCAGTTACCCACTTCTTTGTCCCTGTGTGACCAGAGCAGCAATGAAGGATCCCAGTGCCAATCTCTGATACTTAGGACAAGTGCCTTTCACCCATGCTGGCTCCTTCTGTGTGCAGGAGACTCCAGGAACAGATGCCCTCTGCCTGTCTCATGCTGCTGCACTTTGCTGTGCCTTACTTCTGAGGTGTACACACCTGGAAACTCCACAGGTCCCAGTCATGTGCATGAGACAGGTGCAGCCAGTGCATTTGTTGTCCACTTGCTGGGTTGATGCTTCCTACTTTATTGTCTTCCCAGAATCCTCTCCACATCTTTATACCGGAAGTTACAACGTACAGATTTTTCTGAATGTCCTTTATTTTAAAATATTAAGAAATTAAAGTTACTGTGAAATTTTGTACTTAAAAAAGATATGCAATTCTGTGTTTTAGTGTGCTGGAATTGATGTTCGTCTGTGTGATGTTGGTGAGGCCATCCAAGAAGTTATGGAATCCTACGAAGTTGAAATAGATGGGAAGACATATCAAGGTGTGTCTTTATAAAGTGTGTCTTACTTTGCAGTTAATTTTATAAAATAGCTGGTGATTGCTTTCTTTAGACCATTTGCCTCATCTTTTTATCTTAAAGTGAAGGAGTGCAGGAAGTGAATGAGCTCTTCACACGAGGTAGAATAGTGTGGTCACTACCTGGGACTAGCTTCGGCTTCTCAGAGCTGGGGAGAGAGCCATATGAGGTCACCCCGGGCTGCTTGGCATGAGTTAGACTGAGGCTTGCAGAAGCCAGAAATCCTCTCCATGGGTGACTCTCTAGTTGTTTTTGTTTTGTTTTCTGTTTTTGTTTGTTTTTTCTTTCTCGTGTTTAGAATATAGAGGTCAGCTCCTTGTACCTTCCTTCAAATCTTTTTCCTTTTTTTTTAAATTTTGGACTAATTTTTTTTTTTTTTTTTTTTGCAAGCCAGACAGGGCTTCCATTCACTAGTTTACTCCTGGAATGCCTGCAAATGGAATTAGGCCAGACCAAAGGTGCAGCTAGGAACTATCTGTTTGCCACAGATTTGTGTGGCAGGGACCTATTCAAAAATACTCGAGCCGTCCCCTGCCAGGGTATACGTTCATAGGAAACTGAGTGGGGATCAGAGCTGGCAGCTGAACTGAAGCACTCTGAGATACAGACATTCGAGAATACACCCTCCCTGCCTGTGGAACCCTCAGCCGCACGGCTCTTTTGCCTCTTATCTTCCCTAGACACGGCCTCATGGGTAGAGTCCCAGAATTGTGTGCTTTTAATGAACATGTGCATCAGTCCAGTTCTCTAGCTTCATTTCTGTCGGTACAAATTTTTTTCTACCATATGTTTATCACTTTATAACCCTGTCATAATAACTCAAGAACTGCTACATTTCCTTTTTGCTTCACTTACCACTAAGTAAATTCATATCATTCAGCATTGTTACAGTTGCCAATTACAGACCATTGTAATTCTACCAAGAGCAAAGATAGTTCTTCCTTTGAGACTTGACTGTTCCTGTCCTCCTTTCTGCCATCCATTCTCCTCCTTGACTTTGACATCTGGGTGGCTTTAGTATTTCAAATAGGCAGTCCAGGGAATAACTGGACATCACTGGTTGCCTGAACAGCTTGCAGCTGCATTACAGATCCAGCCTCCTGTTCCTCTTGGGGTAGCAGATAATGGCTCAGAAAGTAGGGTTTGTGTCAGAGAATTGCTTGAGGTTCAGGCTCATGGCTTTGTGCAGTCCTGAATGTTGGGGCATTTGGGGAGTGAACCAGCAGATTTAAGCTCTCTCTGCCTTTCAAATAAATAAATGCCCAGTTATTTTGGGAAATTTGTGGGAGTAGAATCTAGGTCTTCTAGTTTCTACATTCATTGCTTTAAATGAAGTGTCTTTTTGGTTCTTTCCAAATTTACTAATCAGCATGAAAGCCACTGAGAGTGACTACATCTCGACCGAGTTTTCTTTGATGAGAATTTGCTGACATCTTTACTTTTTTTTTTTTTTTTAACGATTTGATTTACAGAGAAGAGAGACAGAGAAAGATCTTCCATCATCTGGTTCGCTCCCCCAAGTAGCTGCAATGACTGGGACTGAGCTGATCCAAAGCCAGGAGCTTCTTCCCAGTATCCCATGCAGGTGTATGGGTCCCAAGACTTTGGGCTATACTCCACTGCTTTCCCAGGCTACAAGCAGGGAGCTAGATGGGGAGTGCAGCAGCTGGGACACACACTGGTGCCTATCTGGGATCCCCACACTTGCAAGGCGAGGACTTTAGCCACTCTATGCAGGGCCCCATTTTTACAGGTTGTAACAGTGGCCAATCTACAGCTCTTTTGAAAAAGAGAGACACAAAGATGTCTTCCATCTGCTTGTTGACTTCTCAGATGGCTGCAATGGCAAGGAATAGGGCTGGGCAAAGCCAGAAGCTCTATGTGGGTAGCAGGGGCCCCTGCATACAGGCCATTACTAAGTCAGAGCCAAGCATGTGGGACTCAACCTGTGCTCCAGTGTGGATTCTTGTGTTACTGCCAGTTAACCCAGTGTGCCACATGGTAGCCTATCATTATTAGGAATTGTTTTTTAACTTGCTAACTTCTAGTCTATGAAAAGAGCTCTATAGTGCTATTTTACAACTGCATTTTATAAAAATTAGAAGCTCATTTATCTAGAAAATATTTACACTGAAGATTCTAAAACTATAGAGCTAGATTATAGGGCTTGACACGGTAGCCTGGTGGCTAAAGTCTTCTTATACACGCCTGGAATATCATATGGATGCCAGTTCTAATCCTCGCAGCCCTGCTTCCCATCCAGTCCCTGCTTGTGGCCTGGGAAAGCAGTCGAGGACGGCCCAAAGCCTTGGGACCCTGCACCCACGTGGGAGACCCAGAAGAAGCTCCTGGTTCCTGGCTTTGGGTTGGCTCAACTCCGACCATTGTGGTCACTTGGGGAGTGAATCAGCAGATGGAAGATCTTCCTCTCTCTGTCTCCTCCTCTCTGTATATCTGACTTTGCAATAAAAATAAATAAATCTTTTAAAAAAAACTTAAGACATTGTGAAATATTGAGAATTCATTAATATAAAAACTCAGCATCTCCATTGCAAAATCTGTGTAGGTTGGCCTTTTGAGAAGAACCAGCCCAGTGTTCCAGAAGTTCCTTTATCTCAGGGTGTTAGTCTGTTTTGTGCCGCTGTAACAGACAGTGCGTGAGGCTGCATAATTTGTTAGGAATAGAGATGTAGTCCTCAGTTCTGGAGGCTGGCAAGTCCCAGACTGAGGGCATGGCATGTGCAAGGGCATCCCTCCTGCACAGTGCCATAGTGGGAAGGGTCACAGGCATACAGGCATGATGGGTCCAGACTCCTTTTGTAAGTAACCCACTTCCTTCAGGAAGGTGATGCTCCATGACACAGTTCCTGCCGCATTGGGACACACAGAAAATGTAACACTGGTGTATTTCTTTCCAAGTTCAGCAGCCTTCTAGTGATCCACAGAATTGAGGACTGTAGTGTTTGCATTTGTCTTTACTAATTATGCATCCTTAAATAGCACCTTAATGAATAAACGAAAAACTTTTTGGAAGGGTGCAGGCATTGTGTGTTAGTGGGTTAACCCAAGCCTCCACTATGCCCCTATGGAATGCTGATCGAGTCCCAGCTGCTCTGCTTCCAGTCTAGCTCTATGCTACGGAGGAAGCCACGCAAGGTATATGGAAGACCTGGGTGGAGTCCTAGGCTCCTTGCCTGTTTCTGGAGCATCCTGAGCTGTTGTAGGCATATGCGGAGTAAACCAGAGAATGGGAGATCTCTGTCTTGTCTCTTTGCCTTTCAGATATATATATGTAAATATTTTAAAAATTGGGGCTGCCACATTGGTTCAGTTGACTAAACCTCTAAGCACAGGCATCCCATGTGGGCGCCAGTTTGTGTCCTTGCTACCCCCATTCCCATCCAGTTCCCTGCTTGTGGATTGGGAAAGCAATAGAGGACAGCCCCAAAGGCTTGGGACCCTGCACTCATGTGAGAGACCAGGAAGAAGCTCCTGGCTTCACATAGGATCACTTCTGGCTGTTGCGGTCATTTGGGGAGTATACCAGTGGATGGAAGATCTTTTTTTCTGTCTCTACTTCTCACTGTAAATGCCTTTCCAATGAAAACAGATTTTTAAACAGTATATGTATATTGAAAATTAATTTTGGTTCAGAAAACTTTTAAAGATTTTAATGTTTGTGCAAGATAAAGTCAGTGCTCTTTTCCATGAACATTTTAAATTATATAATGTATGTATAAATTGCATTTTTCATACATTATATGTGACTGCTTCCTTTAAATTTTAATGCAGTTGGTGGTTGTGTCTCTTTTCATTGTTAATTGATGTTCACATTGTGTGAATGTCATTGTGGAAATGCCATAATTTTTGTTGCATATTACTTTATCAGAACATTAGCATTGTTTAACTTTTCTTTTTTTAATATTTGAAGTGTTGATTAATAGAAGCTTCATAGTAATGCTATTTTGACATAGGATCCTGACTTTCATACCTTTTATCTGTACAGTTTCAATCTGGACACGTGACATTTTTTTCTAATTTACAGTAACTACTTAAATAACCGCCAGTCTTTCTTCTAAGCAATAACGCTGTAGCAACCTACTTTTCATATTCAACTAAATTCTTGTTTTTGAGTAGCATAATGTGAGCTGATTTAGTAGAGCCATATCTTTTAAAAGTTGAGCAGGTCTGTTTATGTTCAAGGAGAACCTAATGATGTTTATTTGTTACAACAGTGAAACCAATCCGTAATCTAAATGGACATTCAATTGGGCCATATAGAATACATGCTGGGAAAACAGTTCCCATTGTAAAAGGAGGGGAAGCTACAAGAATGGAGGTGAGTCCTTAGCCCTTCTGTGACAAGCAGTTTTGTCCCTCACCACTGACCCAGCCAAATTAAAGCTACCGCACATGTGTTGGTCAGATCAGGGTTTTATCAGCTGTGGAAAATATCGTTTATCCAATTGAATGGATATTTATTGAACATATCCTAAGTGCCAGTTTTGTTTGGCTGACACCAGGAATATGCAGAACAAAATAACCTGTTTACAAAAAATCATTGTTCTAATAGACATGCCTAAAACCTAAAGTGCTAAGGACATAAAGCAGGAAGGAGCTGAATGGGGACTGCATGGGGAAGTTTCATGTTACTGCTACTATCAGTTGGAAAGTCAAGATGGTAATTGTGTTTGCCAGAATATTTCTTCCCACCTCTAATTCTTTGCATTTTTTAAGGAAGGAGAAGTATATGCCATTGAAACCTTCGGTAGTACAGGAAAAGGTGTTGTTCATGATGATATGGAATGCTCACATTACATGAAAAATTTTGATGTCGGACATGTGCCAATAAGGTGAGAGATCACTTTTTACTGAAGGGTATCTCTTCCCATTTAACAGCATTTAAAAATATACAAGGAGGTACATCTAAGTGTGAGTTTGAGTAGTACAATAGAAATATTGTTATGGATTTTGACTGAGGTAAAAAATGATTATTTGAATTTTGCTTCTGATGATCATAGCAGATTATTTCTTTAGACTCCTAGATTTTGCTGCTAATGTTTTCCCATTGGTAACCTTTCTCTTTGAATTTTCATTGTTTCCTTTGCCTTCTGGAGATGATTGGAGGCTGGATTTATGCCTCCTTTTGTGTGTGAATTTTGAGCCCACACAGTTCACTGTAGGTGAATCATACTGGGAACTTTATACTTGGGCATAGGCACACAGACATGAGAGGCCTCTGAGCTCCTTTCCTAGTCAGATGCCATCTGGAATTAGGTATATGGGCTGTTCTACATCCTTGCTTTTGATTGCTCAGAACGGCAACAGAAGCTTTTGAACATTTGTTACTAAGTGAAGAGACATGGATGAGGTCTGGGTTTTTCATATAGGTCACAGGAGTTGGTAACTCTTTTGCCCACTATTTATTTATTTTGGATTTTTCTTCTCTCAGGCTTCCAAGAGCAAAACACTTGTTAAATGTCATCAACGAAAACTTTGGCACCCTGGCCTTCTGCCGCAGATGGCTGGATCGCTTGGGAGAAAGTAAATATCTGATGGCTCTGAAGAATCTGTGTGACTTGGGCATTGTCGACCCATATCCACCATTGTGTGACATTAAAGGATCGTATACAGCGCAGTTTGAACATACCATACTGCTGCGTCCAACATGTAAAGAAGTGGTCAGCAGAGGAGATGACTATTAAATTTAGTCCAAAGCAACCTCAACATCTTACTTTCTGAGTTTTGTTGGAATACATTGTACCAGAATTAATTTACAATATCTATTTTAACAGTGGACCTGTGTAATACTTTTATCCATGTTTAAAGAAAATCGATCAAAGGCAAAACATCTGATGTAATTAACCAAGGAAAAAGCATTCAGGACTTTGAAATGTTAATTGCTTTTCCCTGTCTAGGAAATGCTAGAAAGCTCAAATTAGTTAGGAATGACTTACCCAGTTTTGTTTTGAACAGCTAAGAGATGCTTTTTGGATATTTATATTGCCATATTCTTACTTGAATGCTTTGAATGACTACATCCAAGTTTGCACCTCTGCCCTCTGGTATTGCTTTTTAACCTTCCTGGAATCCATTTTCTAAAAAATAAAGACATTTTCAGATCTGAAAGCTACATTTGAATGTTTGTGATTATACTTCTGAACAGGAGATAGCTAAACAAAACAAGGGAACTACAGAGGCTTTTATCTGGACTGTAGACCTCTGGTGTTTTCTTCAGGCATAATAGCTAAAACAAGATCTACACATGCATCAAGTGGGACAATCTTGATAAGTGAATAAACAGGCTTAATATTGTGTTTCTTTATAGAACATTAATCCTTGTCTATTCATTTTATCCCTGTTGGAAAGATGTACTGATTTAAGCATTAAGAACTTGTTATCAACCTGAAACTATTTCAGTAAATATCTTAGCTTTTAGATCCTTCATCCAGTGGTAGCTCCTATCAGGTATACATGCAGTTAAAAAATCCAAAATGGCATTTTAGCCATAGAAGCTTAAGAAAAATGGGATTTCTATGTTTAGATCTTGTTCTAGTTAGAAACGTTATGTTGAAATAATTTCATAACGTTTGGAATAAGCTTTGTTGGAAATAAGCTTTTTTCCAAGTGGAAATGAGGTTTCAGCTACCTTCCCTAATACTTTAAATTGTTATGTACCAAGGTAAAGCCTTAATTTGTGTATACTTAGCATTGAGATTTGATTGCCGTTTGGATGCTGTATGGTTTGTCTTTTGTTTAGTGTTCAATTGAAAAACCCATGACTTGTGTACCCAGCTCGTTTGTTATGTTGTACAGCTGTTCTTTTTGCATTAGAGCCGTAAGTCAATGTTAATCTTTTGGGGAAAGCAATCTAGTTTTTAGCTATATGGGCTGTTTATTATGGTGCTACTCTTCAATAGCTACCTTTGAAATATTTCTTTTTGTGATGGATTCTGGTGGCAGAGTTCACTGATTCACACACGGATATATAGGGCTTGAGCCTTGCAGCTAGCTCTGTGGGGCTGTAGTCAGATTTTCTGTTTTTTATATGCGTTGTGGGTAGGCATAAACTGAAGCAACTTGATTTCTCAGTCCAAAAATTTATACACTAACCCCAATGAATGAGTAATTTGGAGCTTTCTAACAGCTCCTCTGGAGTAGTAGTCTCAAATGTAATTCTGCAAGCAGTGGGCTCCCTTCCTGTTGGGAGCAGAGGCGTCACTGTCCCTGGAATGGCTGGGAGGGGTGTGATCCTGTAAATAGGAAAGCTGTCACATAAGAAAACAATTGTACTGTTTGCCTATTAGCCTTGTATCTCTTGAAATCACTTTGTTTACGATGTTTAACAATAGTGCCTTTAGTAAATTATTTTACAACCAAAAAAAACCCCCGTTGTTTCTTCTTAGCTCAAATTAGCAGAATGTAAAAGTCCATATTATAGTTTGAGAGCTCTTAAAGTTTGTTTACTGTTCAGGTTTTAGGTGTTTAACACTTTTTCATTACAATTTTAGTGGTAATTTCTACAGATTTTTCACATACCTTCAACTCTCCCAAATATTCCTTCATACAGGTGTCATTTTTAAGATTAAAAAGTAAAGCACTAGGTCACTTTGCCATATATTTTTAGATTAAAGCTAAGTTAATACCACTGCAGATGGTAGTAGCTTTAAAGATTTTTAATCCCATTAAAATTAGTTGTCAAATGTATTACATTTCAGGGGTAGGCTTATGGTGAAGTAGTTTAGTCTGGGATGCCTCCATCCTATCTCGGAAGGTCTGGGTTTATTCCCTTTGCTGTTTCTAATTCTAGTTTCCTGGTAGGCAGTTGATGGTTCAAATACTTTTGTCCCTATTTGCTCATTTAGGAGGTCCAGAGTAAGTTGGGGCTGTGGCCCAGACCTAGCTATTGTGGATGGGAGACTTTTCTGTACCTTTTGAATAAATGAGTAAAATTTCTGTAATGTATAGCATTTAAAAGGTAGCCAATGCAATTAAAAAAAAATAGCTGGACTCAAGGTATCTTGACCACATAAATCTTTAATGAGGTATATGCATTTAATAGACGAGGTAAACAGCTTGCATAGGGGTTTATGGAGTGAACAGTCCTAAACCCTAGCCATTTATGTTATTTTTTGGCACAAATAATTAGTCTATTCAATGATAAATCCTCATTGCATTTCATTATCATCTGCCCTGTATGACCTGTTTCCTGAATTTAAAGAAAAAATAGCTAATAAGTTTATCCTTACAGATCATGACTAAGGAACAGCATTGTATAGGCTATAATCTTTAATAAGCACAAGGATAAATAAATGAGCTAGTGACACCTAGCCCGAGGTGTAATGTCACTCTGGAGGTTAGAAGGCTCCCCCCCTTTCTGATTAAGTTAGCAACAGTAGGACTTCAAAGAGATCTAGTAAGCAAAAAAATCTCAGTACATTTCTGATAACCAAATTTAGATAATTTTTGGTGGTTTTAAATTCCTGAGCCCAGTGTTCATTTAAGAGCTCCAGTCACATAATCCTAGCAACAGTAAAGAAATACAGCTCTTATTTAAGAAATGAGGTGCTAGACAAACAGCCTGGGTAGCAGTTTCGAAGACTTACCCCCAAATGTAATTTTGTCAAGACCTATTCCATTGAAGTAAAACTTTCCAGCTATACAAGCTAGAGGAGCTAATGTTACTGCAGGTATAAAATGAACTCTTACCAAGATGAACTATACCTGCATAACATAATACTGGTTTGCTAAATTCAAGATTTTTGTTGGAAATTGCTTTATTGATTTAAAACAACTGACTTGCTGCCTAATCATAAGTCCTAGCCATCATTTTTTTATGTCCATAGTTCCAAAGTTCATTTAAGTGATAATATATATAAAATTGGCATTTACATTTTAACTGCCAGATAGTTACTAAGATAGCAAAATAGCAAATGTTCCATTAAGTAAAGTCATGTCATTATGAGGACTGTTTCTCAAAGCCTCAGGACTATGACACCGTGTGATTGATGAGTCTTGGGTACCTTTGTATTTCACTTGAAAATAGTAACTCCCTTCAAGGGACAAATGGCCAAAAGTCCATTCCTTTTTGGTTAAGCATGGAAGGAAGTGGCTAATTTTCCATCTATTAAGGTATAAGGAATTTGAATAGAAAATGGCTATAAAAGATAAATTCATGCCACCCGAATTTAAGAATGATTGCACAAAAATCATGATCTGAGCTAATTAAGACACAATATAAGAGGTATAACACTAGTCTGAGGTAAACATTAAAAAGCTTAAAACTCCAAAGTACGTAAAAATAGTCACAGTTGATACATGTTCTTATACTTTATAAGACTCTTCAGATACAAAACGTATAAATGTGTGCGCTGATTCATAAGGAAAATAAAAGGAAGCTCCTAAGTCAGCTTTGAAAAGTATATACAAGTGACAAGAAGAAACCCCACTGTCTCGGGATCAGCTAAAGATTTCATTAGAAGAGGTCTCGGCTTCTTCATTGGAACACTGGCTTAGACTAGGCAGGAGCTCGGGAGACGCAAGTTTAGAATTTCCGTTCTCAGTAACTCGTTGGGTATAAAACAAGATATAAGCTTGGGCTTTGCATACTTCATCCATAGTGCACATGTTTAACTTGGAATCATTGCAGTGTACCCAGAATCCTAGAGTGAAGCACAGAAATAGGATATTTATAAAGGATTTTTAGGACCTTTTAATATAAAGGGTATTAAGTTTTAGTGAAGTTAAGCTTTTGCTAAATAAGAACATTTTCTAGCCAATTCATTCTGCAATGAGAAATACTTGCATAGTTTGGGCAGCGTGTTACTTTGAGATCTCTTCATTCGTGAAATTAGTTGTAAGTTACATAGTCTGAGTAACCAGAGTATATGACATTCTAGATGTAAATTACCTGTTAATACTTTTACAGTTCAACATACTGTAAAGCAAACAATTTGCAACTCAATCTTGATAGTTTAATGTTGAATTAATTGGCTTTGTAATTATCTAGGCTTTTGTCCTTACTTCTGTTGCTTGTGTGTTAGCAGGAATGATGGTTATTCTTGGTCTATTCAACAGTCGGTACCAAAAAGGTAAATAAAAAGTGAAACCTCATTCCAGTCCCTTTTGTTAGAACTAGACTGTCCTAGAAGAAACCAAGGAAACTGCAAATGAATGTGTTAAACTTGAACTCGAAAGTGTGTTTCAAATATCTGATTTCCTCATTCATTAGAAACCCCGTTTTTTAACACAAACCAGTAAACAGGACCTGCCCTTTTTGGTGTGTCTTTAAGGTAACTTTTTCAGGCCATTGTTTTAGTGTAGTGTGTTAAACTACTGCCTGTGCTGCTGGTAGGTTCATGTCTTGGATGCTCTACTTCCAGTCAAATCGCCACCTAATGGCCCGGGAAAGCAGAGAAAGATGGCCCAAGTGTTGGGGCCCTTCTGCCCCAGAAGAGGCCTGGAAGGAGCTCCTGGGTCCAGACTTTGGTCTGGCCCAGCCGTGACTGTTGTGCCACCTGGGAAGTGAACAAGCAGATGAACTCCCCAATTCTAACATTCAAATCGTAAAGCCAAAACTATTTGACAAGATTGTCTTCACTGTTCTGTCCCTATAGGCATGAAATAATCAAAAGTACTGCAGACTTGCAGAGGAAATATTGTCTCTTTCCTGCACATCCTCCCTCTCCCCCCTTAACCAGCAGTACTGCACTTGTCTTTTCGAAACCAGTGGTCAAATGGTTTTGCAGATGATTTAGCAGCCAATTTAGACTTTGCTAAATTTTGAACTCCAATTTCCAAGTCTAAACCAAGGTAAAATATTTTTTTTCCTATCTATACCTCCTTCAGAATTATAGCAGTACGCAGTGTAGTGTCCTGAGCCAAATCCTTTCCCATGGTGCATTACTACAGCAGATAAATCATAGATAAAGCATTCTGGACTGAGGGATTTCAAGGTCTCCCTGCAGCAATAGGGCTCCATATTTAAGATTTCCTCAAAGCCAACATGAACACCAATCTTCTCCCGGTTATTACGTCCTGACCACCTGTGAACAAACCAGGGTAAAATTATCAAAATAGACAAAGGGAAAATAACCATGTATGAGGCCTAAACAGTTCTATAGAAGACC